CGGCAGCAATTTAGTAAGCGTTTATTATGAACCCAGCCCCATAGTCTATAAGGGGATGCAAGAATACTTGCAGACAAGTTGATGTCATATATATTGTTTTTAGTATGTTAACAGTGATGTAGCACCTACCATGTTCCAGGCACTATTCCAATTGCTTTCATATACTAACTCAATCCTATTGTACCCATTGTGTACATGAGGAAACTGTGGCATAGAGAGACTTTAAGAAACTTGCTTAAGTCACACTACTAGCCAATAATGGAGCTGGGGTTCAAAACTGGGCAGTCTGGTTCAGTTTAACTTGTTTCACTGTCATTCAAAAGATATTTACCGAGCATCTTCTATTGGCAAGGGATTGAGTTAGGTCATTTCTAAGACTCCTTCATTCATCAAATACTTATTGAGCACCTACTATGTGCCAGAGGATTGAGTGAGCAAGACAAAGTCTTTGCTTTTGTGGAATTTATTGACTAGTGGGGAGTCAGATAATCAGTCAGATAATCAATCAATAACACATTTTCAGATACTGACAAGTCCTGTGACTAAAGTAAAGCCAGATAAGGGGCTGGAAAGTGATGGAGGGTACAGGGATATTTGTAGATTTTGTGGCCGAGGAGGTCTCTCTGAGTAGGTATCCTTTGAGCAGAAACCTGTTTGAACAGTCCAGCCACATGGGAATCTGAGGGGAGAGGAGTGTTCCAGGTAGAGTGAGCAGCGAGTACCAAAGCACTGAAGTCAAAATGAGCCAAGACAAGAGTGTCTAGAGCGGGATGATCTAGGGAAAGAAAGTCTCTGATGAGGTCGGAGAGAATGGTAAGGTCATATTGGTCCTTGCAGGTTATGGGAGGAAGTTTGGAGAGTTATGAGCAGGAGAGTAACATGCTTTGGTTAGCATTTTTTTTCTTTTTTAAAAATTTAATTATTTTTAATGAGGTATAATTGACAGACAGCATTGTATTTGTTTCAAGTGTACAGCATAATGATTCGCTGATTGTGTATTCTGCGAAACGATCACCACTGTAAGTCTAGTTAATGTCTGTCATCATACACAGTTACGGAATTTTTTTTCTTCTGATGAGAACGTCTATGATCTACTCTCTTAGCAGCTTTCAAATATGCAGTACAGTATTATTAACTATAGTTAATAATGGTTAACATGTTTCAAAGAGCACTCTGGCCACAGTATAGAGGACTGACTATAGGATAGCAAAAGTAAGACAGAAGCCTTTGTGTGGAGCCAAGGGACTCCCACTTCTTTTTAAAAAAAAATAATAACTTTATTGGGGAACAGTGTGTTTTTTCCAGGACCCATCAGTTCCAAGTCAAGCTGTTGTCTTCAATCTAGTTGTGGAGGGCTCAGCTCAGTGGCCCATGTGGGAATTGAACTGTCAGCCTTGGTGTTATGAGCCCCACGCTCTAACCATTTGAGCCAACTGGCCTCCCGGGACTCTCGCTCCTTGATTCTGTACTTTGTGTTGGTTATCAAGGTGCTGCTCTCCTACAGTCATTGCTCTAGACTCTGGTATCTCAGCGCTGCAAACCTGCTGCTGGAGGGCTCTGGGGGTGGAGAGTCTGGGTCATTCTGTTCACCTAGCCCCCTGCCTTTTCCTCCTAAGATGTTCACATTTTCTCTCCACATTTGTTTCTCATGAGGACCGTATCTTGAGAGGAGTCATTGGGGGAATAACTTGGATTAAGTCCCTAAGGAAAATGTTAGCTTTCTTTGATGGCCTTTAAAAACAGAAGCTTTGTGTTTACCCAAAAGGATTTATGGCCATAGAGTGGCGATGAGGGACGGTGTTGGGTTGGAAAAAGCCACACAAAGGGGATTCTGCTGGATAAGAACCTTGAACTAGGAACCAGAAACCTGGCTCAATTTATTAGCTTAGCGACAGCTAGTGTCAGTACATTTGAACACATTACTTAACCTTTTGGGGTCTGCTTGCTCATTAGTGGAGACAGTATCTGCCCTGCTGACCTCATGAGGCTGACATGGGGTGCAATGAAATAAGAGTGTGGAAGCACTGTGTACACAGGTACCATAGAAATCTGAGCTGGTAGCATCCCTTTTTAGGAAATTACAGACATTTGTAGTTTTAGAGTGTGAATGTTTTCCCTGGTCACGTAGTCCTAAGAAGAAAGAATGTGCAGTGTGAGATAAGATCTGGTTGACTGACTCTTCCCATCCCCACCCCTACTAACTGGTTGGAAAAACAGTTAACATCCCACTGTCTGGTCAAGACATTTCAGACCTTTGTGTGGGCTGTTCCTGGAAGGTTATTGGCTGAGGTCCCCAGAGCAAAGGTTAGGGAACTTGGCTTGGAGTCACTGGGAGACTTGCAAACGGACAGACAGATAATTACACATGCACAGCACACACACACACACACACACACACACACACACACACACGGGTGAAAACGGCACAGTTACAGTTGTTGGGGACTCACAGTGTTTGTGGATGTTATATATGTAAATCAATCATTAAAACTGTGAAAATTGCTTCAGTGGAAATATCTTCATGTTACTAAGAAGGGAGTGACTAATTCTGCCAAGTGGTGAGTAGAACAAGAGGCTACTGAGAGGAGGGGCATTTGAACACATTCCTGCGAGATACGTGGAGACCTCTACATGAAAAAAGAGGAGGGGGCTTTGTTAGCAGAGATAGGGGTATGAAACAGCATGGTGGATCTCAGGAGCTGCTGTCATGAGAAATGAGGCTGCTGAGATCAGTCCAGATTGGGGAAAAGTGCTGTGTGAGCTGATGTTGGTTTATCTGACCACATATTTTGAATTCTTTCTTTTGTGCCATGTTTAGCCATCTATAGAGCCGTTCTGAGGCCCAGTGTGCTAATGTTGATCAAGTGTGAGGATGGGCCCCCAAAATGCCAAGCATGGTGCCTTGCCTGAGGTCAGTGTTTAAATATTTACTAAAATGATGAAGATCACAAAGCTCTCTGTCTCAAAGCTTCAGAGAAGGTGTCTCTCTCAGACCCCCAGACACTGGGGTATGGACGCTGCGTGCCCTGTGGTGTCCGTATGCTGGTAAAGCAGTCAGATCAGCTGGCTGCTGCTGTAGCTAGCTAGCTAGATTCAACAGTTGTGTCCACACCAAGAGCAGCTGCTGAGGGGTTTGCCTTCCCAGCTGGCAAGCCCCTGGGCAGAGGAGAAGTGGAGGGTGCATTCCATTCCCATGAGTAACTTCTGTGAAAATTGTACTCTTTTGACAATCACAAAACATCTTTTTGGTGTTGTGTAATTAAGTATGGGATTAAATTATCTGTGGTCGGTAGAGATGGGCGACAAAGGAAGGTGCCTTTGCTGTTTATTTTCCATCACCCATTGGGTTGGGTGACATTGCCCTCAACTCCAGGCCATGCTCCCCTCTGCCTGTCCCAGCCCCTCTAAACAGATGTCCCATATCAGCTGGAGCTCGTATTTATGACTGTTAGGTTGACCTCTCATCCGGTATGTTCTTTAATCTGGGGACTCAGTCATACACATATGCAGCCTGCATACGAGAACCCAGAGTTCAGAGGGGAGCGCCTCCCACCCCCAGCCTGGGATCTGATGATCCCCACAGGTCAGGAATGTTTCTGCATTCCTGACCAAGGCCCTTTCCGTGGTGGTGTCATGTCACTTTCTGGCCATACATATTCCTTAGTGATTCCAAGGTGACATTTAGAGGCGTTCACATCTATTGCTAGACAGGGCTTTGTTCAGTTATCAAACCTTAAAACAAAAATAGGTAACTGCAAGCTTGCAACTTTTTTGGCTATTGTAGGGACATAATTTATTCAGGTGGCTTCTTCCTACTAAGGCCTAAAGAGAAAGATGTCCATAAGTTTTAAAATCTTTCCTTCCCCTTTTTTCCCTGGCATTTGCCCACCCCCTCTCTCTTTTAAAACTTTTTTATTGTGGAAAATTTTAAACATATACAAAACAGGAGAGAATTGTATAAGAACCTGCAAATACCAGCTTCAACAATTACCACCTTTGGGGCATCTTATATCATCTGTATCCCCACCTACCCATCCTTAATTATTTTGAAGCAAGTACCAGACATCCTGTTATTTTATCCGTGAATATTTTAGTATATATTTCTAAAAGATGAAGACTGTAAAACCTTAATACTTCCCTGATCATACTTAATAATTCCTTAATATCATCAAATAACTGATCAGTATTCAAATTTCTCTCACCTGTCTCAAAATCTTTTAACATTTTAAATTTTAATCAGGTTCCATTGCAATTGTTTATATGTCTCTTAAGTTTCTTTACATCTCTAGGTGCTCCTCCTACCTTTTTTTTTTTCCCTTGCAATGTATTATTGAAGAAACTGGGTCTTTCGTTCTGTTTAGTTTCACAGTGTAGATTTTGCTGATTGCCTCTTCATAGTACTGTTTAACATCTTCCTCACTCCTATATATTTCCTATAAATTGATGTTGTGTCTAGAGATTTGTTCAGGACTCAGATTCAGTTTTTGGGCCAGCAGACTTTATAAGTGGTGTTGTGCACTTCTGTCAGGAGGCATATAATGTTTAGTTGTCTCTTTCTGTTGGTTGATTGAGTTTTTAAATGTGTTATGTAGTCTAGAGGGTTCGGGTCCCTTAATGTTTACCTGGGCCCAGGTGGTGGTCATCAGAAAGGGGGAAGAGGATGTGTTGTGCTCACCGAGTTCTTTCTCTGTTGAGATCTGATAATGGTGGGGCTGTTAAGTTCTCTGTTCCTGAACTATTTTCTTCTGTTGGTTCCTCCAGTGCTTGCTGGAAGATGAATGAGCACACATTTGGTGTAGGGCATGGCTATGGTTTGTTTGTTTTGGTCATAAAAGACCTGTTCACTTGAGAAATGTTAAGTAAGGAGAGGCTCAGATTCTTTGAAAGTTATTTTTGTATTTAGAGGTATTTCTTGGTTTGGCTAAACCAGCTACTTTTGCTGATATTCTCCAGGTGTGTGTTTGTGTTTAATTTCTAAAGTGATTCTTTTCTTATTTCAGGATCTCATTTTGCCCAATGGTGGTACTCCAGCAGGCACTTCAAGTCCAGCGTCTTCATCTTCACTTCTCAACAGACTTCAGCTTGATGATGACCTTGATGGTGAGACCAGAGATCTCTTTGTCACGGTTGATGATCCCAAGAAGCATGTCTGTACAATGGAGACCTATATCACATACAGGATCACCACCAAAGTAGGTCCCTTTATTATTATCATCTGCCCGTGATGATTGTTCTTGGACGATTGGAGTCTTACCTCCCTGATTTCTGTCTTTGCTTCCTTTCTCTTGTTTTTACAACTCTGTTCCCCTTTATTACAATTGTGGGTGTGGCTTTCTGACAGAGTGGATGTATTCAGGTTAAAAGGATTTTATATATATATATGTAAATATATATATATATAAATATATATATATATATTTACATATATATATATTTAATCTTAAAATGAAGAGAAACTATGACTACACTCTTTCAAAGAAAACATTTAATCCTTATACAGTTGACTCGAACAACATGGATTTAAACTTTGTGGGTCCACTTGTACTTGGATTTTTTTTTTCAATAAAGATTATATATGTATTTTCCTTATGATTTTTGTAATAACATTTTCTTTTCTCTAGCTTACTTTATTGTAAGAATACAGTATATAATACATATAGCATACAAATATGTGTTAATTGTTTATTATTGTTAAGTTTCCCGTCCACAGTAGGCTATTAGTAGTTAAGTTTTGGGGGAGTCAAAAGTTATACATGGTCGCCGGTGTCGGTGTAGGCTGCAGTGGGGTTGCAGTGGGCTGCCATGAGCTACCGTGAGTGGCTGGCAGCCAGCGTGAGCTGCCGTGAGCGGCCGTCCAGTGGCCGATGAGCGACTGCCTCACCCGGGAAGAACGCGATGATAATACCAACTTGGGCCAGTGAAGCGACGTCCTCCACAACTAGACTGAAGAACAAAAGGACAGCAACTTGTCTGTTCCCCTTCCCCGATTCCCCAACGCTGTTCCCCTCCCCCAACTCCCCAATAAAATCTTAAAAAAAAAGTTATATATGGGATTTTCAACTGTGTGGAGAGGTCAGCACCCCTAATCTTCATGATGTTCAAGGGTCAACTGTACTTTCATTTTTTTTCTATCATGATACTGTTTAATGTATTAATATCACGTTACACTTGAAATTTATGATCATTGTATCAATCTAAATCTCCGTGATGAGACCATGACTATAATTTGGTGTGATTAGACTTGATGGTAGGGGGAGCAGGAGTAAGAAAAGGACGGAAACTAATATTTATTGACTTCTTGCTATGTGCCACTAGGATATTACTGCCTTGTCCTTTCCACACCTGATTCACGTTGGAAAATTGGTCTATGTATGTGTGCATATGCACATGCACTCACACAGTCTTCCCCCATTGCCACTGGGCACCTACCACTTCCCAGGCATTGGGCTAGGTGCTAGGATGTGTGTTGTATCCTCAGAGGTCCTAGGTTCACATGCATATTTCCATCAGTTGTTTCCAGTTACTTGTTTTTCCCCCTGGGGTCAACTTATTTTTTATTACCCTGTAGTCAGTGAAATGCAAAACCTGTTTTTCCTGAATTTGTGCTCTAAACAGCTGAATGACAAGGTGACTGCCCTGCTGGCACAGCGATGCTTGCCTCCCTTGATGTTTTTCCATCCTTCCTTGATTCCTCTGCCCTGCAGTTTACCTCCCGAAGTGCTGATACTGCAGACCTCTGGTCACTGATTCACAGGCCAAGGCACATGCTGCACCTCCCGGCTCTTTCCTGGGCTGCTTCTCCTCCTTCCCTTCCTCCCATCCTCCCATCCTCCCATTCCCCTCCCCCCTCCCTCCTTCCCTTCCTCCCTCCCCCTTTCTTTTTGTGTTCTTACCTCTATTCCTTTTCCTGGGATTATTTGATTTCCTATAAGTCAGATGTCTTAGGATAATCTTTTCCAAGTGGCACTCCCACATTTTCACTTGGCTGTAATGCTAACACGTCAGGTGAACTTGTTGCAGTATTCAGTTTTACTTAAGACTGTCAATTCTCCTTCTGATCTCACACCAAAGTCCTTTTATTTTCCTATTTCAAATAGTGACACCAGGTTTAATATTTTGGTAATTCATTTGGAGCCTTCTTTCTGAATGTTGTGTCAAAGGATGTGTAGGGATGTGTGGGGATGAGAGAGAGAGAGGACAAACAGAAACATAGGGTCTCAAACACCTGAACTTGTCCCAGGATCCCCACTTCTGCTAAGGTTCTCAAGCAAAGTTAATGGTCAGATAAATACTTACTCTATTGCTTTGACCTTTGACTCCTGTTCTAATTCTGATTCCTGATGACCAAAGCTGAACAAACTACAGAGCTGCTTTTGCCTGGACTAAAAAGAGCCTCGGGCTGAGAGCCAATGCAGGCAAAGCATCCTCCCCTCTAATCCAGTCCTGGGTATCATCCTGTTTCTCCAGCGGTTGAGAGAGGCCTTTCCATGGCAGGCAGATCTTGGCAGTTTTCCCAGCAGGGTCCTTGAAAGTATCCTCATATTAACTAGTTATTGAGCACTGAACCACGTGCTGTATTTTTTTGCAGTAGAAACCCTTTAAATTTTATTTTATATAAGCAATATGTGCTCATTGTAGAGGAATTGGAAAACTCAAGATGAAACAGTGAAATAAGAGATCTGTAAGCTCACCAGCGAGAAGGAATCACTTGTAACTTTGTGAACTATTTATCTCTATTCCCTTTCAAAAATGAGTATTTTGCATGCTGTCAATTCACTTAATATGTTGCAAACATCTTTCTGTGCTAGTAAATGCCAGTAAGCGTGCTTTTATGCTATCATTTCTGAGACGACAATCATGTGCCACTCTATGGATGAGCTGTCATTTATTTTGTGCTGAGTGCTTTAAATATATCATCAGTTACTCCTCACTCTCAATGAAATAGGCACTGGTGGCATTTTTGTTTTGCAGATGAGGAAACTGAGACACTGAGGTGCTTTAAAAATTGCTCAAACACATGTAACTAATATGTGGTGAAACTAGAACTTGAATCCAGGTCATAGGTCATGACATAATTTTCGAGAGAGGAATGCGCCCCCCCCCCCCCAAGCATGGGGTTTCCTACCATGGCCTGGCAGTTGAAACGGCTATTGATGTACAAGTAGCCTGGAGCTTGGGGAAATGGAGAGCAGCCTTCAGCTCCCTTTAGAAGCCATCCTCCTCTTGCCTTTTCCCCCATCGCCAGTTAGTCATCACTGAGACTTGTGCCTCAACTCGTTCCTCTTGCTAATGCCTCAGTGGTCAAAAGGGCTGGGGCGGCCGGTTAGCTCAGGTGGTTAGAGTGCAGTGCTCATAACAGCAAGGTTGCTGGTTCCATCACCACATGGGCCACTGAGCTGTGCCCCCCACAACTAGACTGACACAATTACTTGATTTGGAGCTGATGGGTCCTGGAAAATGGCACTGTTCCCCGATAACCCCCAATTAAAAAAACAGACAAGCACACAAAAAACCCAGCAACTTCTATGTTCAGTGGGCTTATTCTGGACCAGGGGAAAATAAATTGTCTGTGGCTTCCTTTCTGTTATCAAAAAAGAAAAAAAAAAAAGAGGCTAATTGCTGCTCAGATATTAAGTGATAGATAAGGATTACAACGTGAACGCTAGATTTTATGATGAGAAGGTTATTGATGACTATGGTGAGAGCAGTTTTACTGAGCAGAGCCCGGTTTGTAGTGGGTTCCGGTGAGTGAGAAGCAAGAAAGAAAAGACATCATGAGTGTTGGTAGTTTGGCAGTGAAAGCAAGTCTAGAGAAAGAACAGGGGCTGGAGGGGAATGTGGGTTTGAGGGGAAAGGGCTTTTCCTTTTGTTTTTTTAAGGATGGAAGAGACTTGTTTCAGTGCCAAGTGCAGTGTGGGTCGAGAAGGAGACATTAGGCTGAAGATTGGACAGTAGGATGGAAGCCACGGTGAAGGTGGAAGGAGATAGTACCCTGAGCAGAAATAGAGGGAGGGAGTGGCTTCCGATGAGGGAGGCGAACTTTTTCCATTGTTTCTGGAGATAGAAGGGACATTTATCTTGTGGCAGAAGGTTGAGTGTTCTTTGCTTATAGCTGCAGTTTTCTCGATGGATAGTGAGGCCTTCTACTAAGACTGAGAGGGAAGTGTTGAAGTGGGGCTCAGAAGTTTTCAAAACTTATACAGGCTTTGTATTAACTGATGTAGAAAATGAGGGAGAGGCCCTAAAAAAGAATGAAATCTTGCCATTTGCGACAACATGGATGGACCTAGAGGGACGTTATGCCAAATGAAATAAGTCAGACTGAGAAAGACACATACCATAGGACCTCACTCACTCGTATATGTGGAATCGAAAGAACAAAATAAATGAACAAACAAAACAGAAACAGACTCATAGATAGATACAGAGAACAAGCTGATGGTTGCCAGAGGGGAAGGCGGTTGGGGAGTTGGGTGAAAAAAGTAAAGGGATTAAGAAGTACAAATTGGTAGTCAAAATAGTCACAGGGGTGTAAAGTACAGCATAGAGAATATAGTCAGTAATGTTGCAACAATTATGGATAGTGCCAAGGTGGGTATTAAACTAGTTGGGGGCGAGGGGGAGTAGGGATCATTTAATAAATTATATAAATGTCTAACCACTAAGCTGTATACCTGAATCTAATAACTAATATAAAACAATATTGAATGTCAACTGAATGTAACTGAAAAAAGTAAATAACTTTAAAAAAAAGAAAGAAAATGAGGGAGATAGTAGATTAAGGAAGTATATAGAAAGATTGCTTGGCAGTGTTGAGGGTCCAGTTGTGGAATTTATTGTGTTGATCGGTGTGTTTGTCTGATTTTGTTTTTCCTTCAGGAGTGTGTGCTCACACACCCAGGTCTACTAGAGCGAAAAATGGATGGTTGCATTTTTGCCAGAGTTGTGTGAACGGACAGTGGGGAACGGTCATTTAGGACATTGGCAAGTCAGAGGTTGAAGTGATGGGTCATGGGATTTGACGCTGATTAAGGAAGGAAGTAAAGAAAAGAATGGACAGAATGTGAAGGAACTGTAGGTCCCAAGAGCCTGAAAGGGGGTATAGGGAAATGGAAAGGTCTGAAATATAAGGGGTGCTGGTTAGAGAGGCAGACGTCTACATCTCTGTGTGATGACAGTTTGTGGAAAGGCT